GAGTGACGACTTCACCAACAGCACCCGCTGGACCAGTACGGCGACCCGAGCTCATAAACCCCACCTGGTAAAGCGAAGGATGGCTAGCGACTAACATCTCCGAATCGGCCAAAATGAGCAAAAACCGAGGCAAGCGACGACGGGGGGGAGGGGGCTAATCGGTTAAGGACGACTGCTGGCCGGAGCCCCGCCGTCGCCGAGGAAGGCCAAGCAGAGGCGAAATAGAAGAAGCGGCGCTGACGAGAATTTAGGAATTAGGGTATTAGAGAGATAAAGAGAATCAGTTCTAAACCAACAAAACTATATTACATAGATGTTAACTTTAAGTTTATATATATATATATATTTATAAAACAGTGTAAAAAAATTTTAGGTAATTTCACATTTTTCAATAATAATATTTAATATTTTGATAATTTTACCTACGTTATATAATAGTCAATGTATTCTTAAGGTTTCTTCGTTGTAATATTGTTAACACATATACAATTTAGATACTTTTAAACATATTTAGATGAATTTTTTACACATGCTTTAGATTAAGAAGGTATATCTATATAAATAGGTTAAATTTAATTATGTAGACATGTATTCCTTATACAATAGTTTATAAAAATTTTAGGTGACTTCAAACATATTTTAAGCCTAATATATAGAATATTTTAGATAGTTTTTACGTATGTGATATAAGATTTTTTTAAGTACTTTTATTGTCTATATGCATCAAAACAGATTTATAAAGAATTTTGCAGCAATATACCAAATCTTAGATAAAACAATATCATTTTATTTGTTATATAATATTTTGGTTTGCTTAATTTTGATTTGTATGTAAAAATTGATAAATCAATCGGTTTGCATTAATTTTGATTTGTATGAGTAAAATTTAGAATTAATGACAAAAGAGTGTAAAAATTTGTTTTATAGTAAATTAATATTTAAAAAAAAACAATTTTTGAAATCTTTTGTACTCAATTTTTTAAAGGAATTTATGTTATAATTCATCATAATTCTCTCGCATCATGTCAATATTTATTTTATATATACTACGTAAATCATCATCTCAATATTTATTTTATGTATTCTATTTTATATATACTATGTAAATCATCATCTCAATATTTATTTTAAATATTCTATGTAAATTTTCTCATCTATCTGAAATGTCTGCAGGTAGTATTAAACAGAGAACAATTTAAGTAGGAACTTGTGTAGCAGATGGAATAAATTTTTTAAGAAAATCAAATGTTGAAAAGTTGAGGAACGGAGCAGAGGAAGTATTTCTGGTGTAGCTATGAAATTTCACACCAGTTAAGTTGGAGCTAGAAAAATTTCCAAAATGGTCCAATATGTTGGTCGTTCTCCGAAATAAATCGATCATATAGAACGTAAAAAAAATGATAAACTAAGTTGTCAATTTAATCAAAATTCATACAAAAGTCAAGATAGTGTACTATAAGCGATCTCATTTTTAGTACACTATATTATCTATTGTACGAGTTTTGATTAAAAGTGATAACTTAATGGACTATTATTAATGATACCCTATATATTTGACATTTTTCGGAAAATGACTAAGACGGTAGACTAAAAACAAATTTAGTCAAGTTGGAGCTTAATCAAGTACTAAAGAAAATTCTAAAAACCTAGTAGTGCCACTGAACTGAACATTCATAAATCATTCAGATTGAAACACAAAATCCATCTATATACATATATGTACATTTTCTGTCACAATATTCACAATTACACGTATTGGAGAACAAATTAACACGTGTGTAACGCTAATTAAATCACAATCTTATTGTTGATAAAAAAAAAAATATGGGAAAACTAATTCCAGCCATGGATCACAGGCCGGAAACAAAAGTCACCCCTGTGGATGGCAGCCACGAATTCCCTCCAATAAAGTTTGCCACCGTAAACTTGGCGGCCTCGGCCGGCCCGATAACCCTGAACCCGGGCCACCCGACCCTCCCGGAAAGCCTGGCCCCGGGCCCCATATTCTCGTG